GTTTTTTTTACCTGCAAGATTAAATGGGGACCGTTTTCTAAATTTCTTGGAGAATGAATTTTCTGACTATTTAGAAAACATCCCATTACAACAACGTACTGAAATGTGGTTTCAATTAGATGGATGCCCTGCTCATTACAGCAGAGTCGCTAGAACCTGGTTAGATAGAAAATTCCCACAACGATGGATTGGACGTGGAGGAGCAGTACATTGGGCAACTCGTTCGCCCGACTTAACGCCATTAGATTTCTATGCATGGGGTACTCTGAAGCAAGAAGTTTATTCTTCGCCTATTCAATCAGAGCAACATTTGAGAAATCGTATCGTAGCTGCAGCGAACAGAATATCGCAAGAACAGTGCCTGGCTGCTACAAGAGCCGTGTTTGACAGATGCAATGCTTGTATTGCTGCAAGAGGTGCACATTTCGAACAAAATCTTCATTAAAAAGTTTATAAATAAAATAATTAAAATAATAAATTAAATATATTTTTTTCTTTTTTCGTGATTTCCTGCGAAACAAAGCAAAAAGGAGCATATGTCTATAGGACTTTTTTTCTTAGTTTTTTACTCCTCTACACGCTCCCGAAGTTTTGCCATTTAATTTGGAAACACCCTGTATAGTATACATATACAAGAGACAATCGATATCGCATTCGTTTCCTCGATTCCTCGGTCTTCGGGGTGGACGATACGAAATTTCGATTTCGAATAGACAGCCTCAAGATAAAGAAATGATCTAAATGTCGTTTGGACAACTTTTAATTGGTCTACCATATTAAGATGCTTAAGATAGAACGAGAGAAATGCATAAAATACACTGAAAAAATAAATATGTTTGAATATTTCTACAAAATATAAATATATACACTTATTTGGTACAAAAACTATTAATTTGATTTAATTATCATTTTTTTCAGTAAATATTTATTTAATGTGAGTTTGTTTACTTAGTACTATTCAAAGAAATACGTATTAAGATTTAGTAGATTTTTTTCACTGTAGAATAAGGTTTGTTTTTTCATTTTAACTTGTGATTTTCAAACGAAAGCTCATTTAACTTAATAATAATGCAAATACTGTGTTTCTCTAGCTACGTTTAATCATTAAGCTGATGGTTCTGTAATACTATATATCGGTAGTATCTTTTGAAGTTACTCACACTAGAAAATTATCAGCCTAGTGATTAAACACAGCTAAAAACACAATTTTTACATTATCATCAGCTTAAGTCTAACTACAAGTTAATCAGAAAATGGGAAACTAGGCCTAAAACCTAGTGCTCACAATGCTAGAAAACACACAAATCATTCCGATATCTCGGACAGAGAAAGAATTAACACATCACATTTGACCTATTCGATCACATAACCGATGCGATTGGTCAATTCTTTCTCCGTCCAAGATCTCGGACTGATTTCTAGCATCGTGAATAAAAGGCTTTAGATGCGTAGATATATATATGTATATATAAATATATATATATAAATATATGATGGACGTCCATCATATATTTTAGAGATTTCAAGACGGTGTCCAATTTCTAAAGCGACATCTACAATGAAATTTTAAAACATAAAACTTAAAGTTTGAGTAAGAAATTGACCAATCACAGTTGAATGTGAGGAGATCGGCCACGATTTCTTACGGCTTAAAGTTTAAAGTTTACAAGAAAAGAACAATTTTGCTGATCTAAAAATTTAATTAGATACAAATCTGAAAATAATTTTGTTGAATCATCAAAATAATTATGTAGGAATCTCAAGTACAATGAGTAAAATTGCAAAAGTTTTGACAGTCTAATAACCAGTTAGATCGTCCTACATAACATATTTGGTCCAATAAAATTATTTTTCAAATTTGTATCTAGCTAAATTTTTAGATACTTCGATAAGCAAGATGGTTCTTTCCGTTTAAGTTTTACGCCTTAAAATTTCATTGTAGACGCCGCTTTACTTGATCTTTAGTTCTGGACAGTTCTCTCGTGGAACTAACGACGGATTCACATCCAAATGTTGTACACAGCCTACCGAGGACGAAAGAAAAAGGTCAGCTTCATTGTGAGCGAAATTCAATCCCCTACCGACGACTGTGCGCACAAAGGAGAGGGGGGCCTACCTTTCGAGCGAATGCGGGGACCATTCGCCGGTTTCGGTCCGGAAAAGCCGGTATTCCTCTCCGTTTTAGAGCGTCTACCTGCGCTGGAGCATATACGAAATGCGTTTACAAAAATAACGCGCGAGCGTAGCCGAAGCCCGAACAAAAGCCTCTCACTCCATACTCGTGCTCGTTTCACGTTATCCTCGCTCGAACAAAAATTTCAGACGCCTGTAGTTACACGTTATTTTAAATATATCGATAACGGAGATACGTTAAAAATTGCGGAAATTTTTACTGAAGGTATGTCGGTAGAGAAAGCGAAATAACCCCATTTATTCGATTTTTTCAAACTGCATATTTCTCATTTACATGATCTACCTATATCTATACACATCTATTGTAGATACATAGGTATTTAAAAAAAAATGTGTTAAATTCCGAAGATCGTTGAATAAATGTCTCATTCTCATTATATGCTCATAAATCTTGTACAGAAAAACCGATTTAGCTGAAATATTTAAAAATTAGGTATAATAGATCTAAAAATAATTTTGTTAAACCATCAAAATAATTATGTAGGAAACTCAAGAATAATGAATAATGCTGCAAAAAGTTTTGACATTCTAGTAACTAGTTTAAACGTCCGACATAATTACTTTGATCCAATGTAATTATTTTTAGATCTGTAGCTAACTAAATTTTTACATTCAGCAAAATCGTTCTCTCCATGTAGGAACAAACACTCGAATAAACATTAATTTATATTCAGGTAAAGCATAGTAGTACAGTGCAATATTCCAACGGTACATGTTCTCTCGTTTATTCGATTTTTTTATTACAAACTAAATAATCTACAATATATAAACACAAGTATTTATTTAAAAAATACGTTCAATTTTGAAAATTATTGAGAATGTCTCATTCTTATTACACTTTCTATATTTACTCCAGAAAAATAAAATTTATTCTATTCTATTTCTATTATCATCGACAAACTATTACGTTTCTCATTAAACTCACATTAATTCTGAATGAGTGACTTATCTTAAAATAATTTCTCATAATTTTTAGCCATCCCAATTTATAAAATCTGAGAATATACACTAATTAATATTCAGATAAAGCACGACACTGTAATATTCCCAACGATACATGTTTTTCGCACTTACTCTAGTAAGAATTTTGTGCTAAAATATAAAGACAAATAAGATTACGTGTCATTAGCATCAAAAAACATTTCAGCGTTATCATTAACCCCGCGGACTATTTTAGAACGTTGTTTAGCAGGGTTTTAATTTACCGCATGCTCGGCGAGACGCGACGTGGCTATTTTACTTTCACTCGGCCGACGCGACGCGACGCAATGCGTCGTATAGGACAACGGCGTCCCTCTCGCTGTCGAATAAATCAAAGAGAATCTCTGTGCTCGTTTCGCTAAAACGAGCCGTGCGCCATCGACGACAACGAGGCATCTAACCCCCCCCCCCCTCTCTCTCTCTCCCCCTCGGCCGCGTCGCTCCAAAAACGAACTGTAGCATCCCGACTCTCTCGCTCTTTCCCACGCTCCCTCGTCCTTTCCCTTTCTCTTTCTCCCTCTCTTTCCCACCGTCTATCTCTCGCTTTCCCGTTCATGGGCGCAGAGGCAAACGTAACCTACAACACTGTAATCCCGACCATGGAATAAAGATTCACCAGCCGGGAAGACAGCGGACGCCAACGACGCTCAAGGACATTCACCGTCAGGTTCTCGACGCTCACGCGATTTCGTGCGTCTTGTTCGTCGCCCGCGTTGGCGCGACGAGGAGGCGGCGAGAGTCGAAGAGAGAAAGAGAGAGAAAAAGGAAAAGGACGCGAAGGCACTCCGGCAGGACAGACACGAGCGGATCGATGAGAGTTGCGCCGCGCCGTCGTGCCGATTGGAAAAAAGCCACGTGTGTTAGAGTTAAAATTACAGAAACTCGAGCGCGCTTCTACGCGAGGGAAAATAAAAAATATTATTAATTACTTATCACGAGACGAGAAGTCACAATGACGAATCGTCACGTTAAGGAAAACCTGACGCGTGGATGCGACGGATTCGTATGTTCCCGAAAAATCCTAGCGATCTTGAAACCAACAGACATAAAAGATCCGTTGGCGTTGCTTGCACTTTTTGCACTCGACATCTTCGCTCTCTCTTTTTTCCAACTATAATATATGTTTATCTCTTTTCAAATTTTTGGGGATTCCAAGCCACGTGGATAGAAAGAACCTAAGAACAGAAAAGAATTCTCAAAATTCTTTGGAGTGAATCTCATTACAAAAGAAATTCTGCCACTCTCTTGAAAAGAAACTTGAATGAAATTTTTTCATTCCAAAGAATTAAAATTAATAATTAACTTTTTGAAATTAATCTTACTTTTTTCTCTAAACTTTTTGGAATTAATCTTACTTTAAAAGATTGGGAGTCAGTATTTTGAAAAATTCATTCCAAAGAATTAAGAGAAAAGAAGCCATCGGCTATTCCCGCCACTTCGCCCGATTGTTCCCCGGCGAGTGACGGCGCGGATAACGCGCCGACGGAGAAGCGTAGTCCGCCGATCCGACGCCTTCTATCGAACCGACGCCTCCACGTCGGAGAGCCTCGTGCAAGCGACGGACGAGGGAACGTGCAGTCGGCACGCAGCCGTTGATTTATTTAAGAGCCGTGGCGCGGTTGTAGCGAAAGAGACGCCTCCTGCCTTGATCGCGTTACGGCTATCACTCGCTCGCATCTAGCTGTTTTTAACAGTGACGGTAAACACTTACAGGGTAGTACATCCCTTGCGGAGGAAGGAAGAACGCCCCAGAGCCCCACAGTTTGAGGCCGTTTTGCTCCACCGTTGTGCAAGAAAACAAATCCGTCGCTCCGCACCACCGCCTCCCCCCCCTTCACCTCCACGGTATCCTCCTCTCCTCCTCCTCTTCCTTTTGTTCCAACTGGCACTCCTCTCTCTCTCTCTCTCTCTCTCTCTCTCTCTCTCTCTCTCTCTCTCTCTTTCTCTCTCTCCTCTCTATCTCTCTCTCCTCTCTATCTCTCCGCAGTTGGATGCACTACGCGTTGCTTGGCAGCGGCACGTCTCTTCGCCGTGCACGGCGCGGCACGACGTTAAAAACACAAAAACGGAAACCAGGCGACGGCAACCGGACGTTTACCGTCCACCTACCTCCGGCTACCGCACTCAACGCGAACGACGAAAACACGCGAGGAACACACGCGCGCGCGCGCGCACACGAGTCTCGGGAGCCCACGCACCGAATTATAGCGCACGTTCGAGAAACGACAGTGGCGGCGGCGGCGACGACGACTCAATGACGGCAACTGGAGGGCTTTACGCGTTACTCGTCGGGAATCGAGCGCGTTTACACCATATGCTCGTTCGGCTGTCTTCTGTCACCCTCCTCTTGCACTCGATGTTCCAGTCCTCCCCTCGGTCTTCACTGGACGATCGCCCCGTTTCTCTCCTTTTGTCTGCCTCGCCGTTAACGATTCTGACTCCACAACCGCCACCGTACGTGGTTCCGCTGTGACTAACAACGATCCCGCTATCAACCGGCGCCATTGACAACTAGCGCCACCAGCCACGCCGCCAACAGCGCCGCCCCGCGGTCGCTCCGCGAACCGCGGCGAGAATCGAGCGCTCGATCGGAGCGCATGTGTTGAGCGCCGCGGTTAATTAAAGCCGTTTCGGCAAACGTTATCCTTACTTATCCTGTATTTACTTACGCGTGCCCACATTTATCGAATCGTTCATCGAAAAAGCACGAGTATTGCCTATAATATTGCTAAAAACAATTTTTCTATTTGACTACTTCTGATATTTATCACTGTACATTCTCGTTTTCTAATACAAAATTTATTTGAAAAGTAAAACCAGTTGTTTCAGAGTTGAAATTCTTTCCTATTCTATAATCAATATAGTATCATGCGGATATTATTATTGCACCGATAGAAAAGGGATGGAAGTAAAAAATTAGCACTTGTGATAATAAAAGAAAATCGATTATAAAAACTAATATTTTTTGTGGGACACTGGTACACTTAATTGTTATTCATTTGTTTATCACACTCCAACAAAACATTAAATTTACACCATACTAGAGTTACATGGTTCAAACTTTGCAAATTTATAATTTAAAAACATACATTATAATTGTATAACCTATAATGCATTACAATTATAATTAACTGTTATACGTTATATAATTATATATAATCCGTACATTATAAAATATACGTTATATATAATTCACATTATACATTAAATTTACATTATATCAGGTTTGCCCTATTCGAATTTTGAAAACATGATTTTAAAGAATACATTATAATTGTATAACACGCGCGCACGTGCGCGTATTAAAATTATAATTATAACACAATCACACGTTGAAATTGTATTTAATACATTATACAATTATAATAATTCCTTAAAACTTTGTTAAGCTTCCAAAATTTAAATACCTATGATGTACATTTAATGTATAGTATATATAACGTATTACAATTTATTATAAAATATTGAAAGTAAGTGAAGTTGAAGTTACAGAAATTGCATATTCACTCTCCTAATTACTTAAAACCAATTCAGGAAAATGCTCTAAAAAATGCTCTACTGAAAAGTTGTTAAATTTGAAACATTTTCTATCGACACGATGATATGTTTTAATTCGTACATGTATATTTACGTTTATGTAACTACAAGTATTTTGTATAATTATATAATTTTGATAATTCGCTTAATTAACACTTTTTCTGTATTAAACTAGAATTACCGCGCAGTTATTAGTCTCAATTGTCCATTATTTGAATATTAATTTGTTGTTAAACAAACGTGTTTAAATTTCTTTTTAGTATGTAAACACGCAGAGAATAAATTGGAAACAATCTGCGAGAGTCGCGAAAATTTCGATTCATTCTGAATTGTTCTCGGAGACAATACTCGGCAGAGAAAGACGCAAAGATGCTCATCGGATGGGCGATAATCGGTTCCTTGTTTACTTTCACGATTCCCTATAGGAACGTGCTCGAAGCCAGGCAATTACACACGATTGCGAAATCGTTCATCGCTCGTTACTCGTCTTTGTTAAACGGTCTTCTTGGGCCGCACATCAACAACGTGCTCATTATTGCTTTAATGTCTAATGCCGCTCACATTCTTTTCTTGATCTCTTCCGGTAAATGCGCGATGTGACCTTTTTCATTCATCTACAAGCTTAATCCACGTGTTCTCAATCATTTCAACGTGAGAATAAGCCGCGTCGGTTCCATAATCCGTGTTTCATTCGCGCGAATTATATGTACCGCCTAGTCTTAACAAAACTTCTCGTATAATCCCCATGGATTATCCATCTAATGGACTCTCAAAATTTTACCAACTCCTGGTGGTTTAAACTTCATTGAATGAAATACTTAACGTTCCTCCAACATCACAAGTCATCAAAGATAATTAATTACTCACATCCGACGTGTCTCTATACATGTATACTTCACACGATATATCTTATCAGACAATAATTTTACACAGAAAAATAATTTATTCGAATTAATAGGTTCTATATATGTTTAAATATTAAGTTATATTATATATTACACAATAAAAAATCTAAATTTCTCGATTCATTCTCGATTTGTTGTAGAAAAAAGTATTAAGTTATGAAATATAAGTAAAACTAACACGAAAAAAAAAACGATTTTTCTATACTCAAAAAAATACGTGCTGTACGCAAATAATAATTCATTATTTTAAATATTTCTGAAATTCATAAATCCACAAATCAGTTCACCACAAGCATTAAATTTATTCAAAATATATTCTGAATTCTAGTAAGTTCAATACTTTAATCAAAATTATTAAATTAAAACAAAATCGATTTGCTTATTATATAAAATCACTTCTTCTCGATCAATTTTATAATAATTAAATGTTAATATGGCTCAATTAGAATAAATCAATAAATAAAACAAGGGCAAACGAGCCAACTACAATATAAGATCTTTAATAAACGTATATATATACAATAATCAAACGTTTCGACACCGATCGGGTCATTTTCAATGTACAATAATAAAACATCTTACATACATAATCAGAAATTTAGTTAAAATATATTGTCCAGTGAGAATTTGGTTATATTCATAAAAAGCAGTCCATATTTAAAACTATTGAAGAGATCAAAACACATTCTACCATCTCATATTGTCTCTATGATGTAATGTAGACAACGATAGGAACACTCAGTTAACAAAATAATATTTAATAAAAGTTATGTATAATAAAAATTATTAAGCCATGATGCGCATGAATATAACGTTTTGACTGAATCGACGTCAAGCGACGTTATGTTGGTCATGGTAAGATTTTATTATTGTACATTGAAAATGATCCGATCGGTGTCGAAACGTTTGATTATTGTATATATATACGTTTATTAAAGATCTTATATTGTAGTTGGCTCGTTTGCCCTTGTTTTATTTATCAATTTTATAATATTCTTCAAAAGAAAATAAATTGTTTTGAGTACATAATAATAAGTTTTTTAAAATTTGTAATAAGTATATTTTAATATTATTAGCAAGAAAATATTCTTTGTTAAAGGTAAACGTTATTTAAAAAGAAAAAAGCAAATTGAGTAATCACTTTTCTTAGCACTAGAATGATATTTTTCTATGTATAAAAATTTAGATAAATATAAATCTAAAGATAATTTTGTTGGTCCATCAAAATAATTACGTAGAACTCTCAAGCATGATGAGCAAAGCTGCAAAAAGTTTTCAGACATTCTAGCAACCAGTTTGAATGTCGTAATTATTTTGCTGGTCCAACAAAATTATTTTCAGATCTGTATCTAATTAAATTTTTAGACGTTTCAGCAAAATCGTTCTTTCCGTATATGTGTAAGTATATAAGCTACTCAACTGTTCTTTCTTTTCTGGAGAACTTAAGAAATCATAAAGCTCTCTTTATATAATAAATCATGTTAAAAGCCACACTAAAAAGGATACAGGAAAATTGCATCGTATTTGTTCAAGAACTATTAACTTGAGGTAGGTTTGGTGTACGCGCTTCGAGTTTTCAAGTGATAAGTTATCGATCGCGATCTGTAATTATGACGCTGGTACTGGTAAGCCCGGGTTACACCATCGTCTAAAGGCAGACTATTATTTCAGTCTGCCTCGTCGCGCGTTCGTCCGGTTCAATAAAGTCAACCGGGGTGCGCGCTCTCCGAAGTTCGTACTGGTGAAATCGACTGACAAGAGCGGCGTGGAAAAGTTCGGTAGAGGAGCTGCCGGAAACGCGGGAGACAATGAAATCCCGACAATTTATACCCCTGGAATTTGGCCAGAGACCGTTCGTTTCCCGCTCTGCGCACCGCCGACGCGGCGCGGAGACGAAGAGACGAAAAATGTTAAACGCGCGATACCGCGATGTTTCACAGTCGCTGTAATTACAATTTATAACACTGGACGAGACGCACTCGGATTTTTCTCCGTTGTTGATACACACCGCGACGTATATTCATTATTAACAACGTAAATTCTCGCGGATTTGGAGTTCCGCGATACCGACGAATAGACGCGCCGTCGAGTCTGATTTAAGTTTACGGTTCGTTATAGTTTATCGTTATAAATCGATCGTCATACACTCTCTCGTTATTTTACATCATGTTACTCTTTAACAAGCTCTTTACAGGGCACCGATAACAAGCGATGGCAGTGGAAAGATATAAACAATAAATATTATGTTACGGACGATCGTCGTTCGCCGGGCAGTTACATATGCAAAAAGTACCAAGTATTTCGCCGCTTATAGATTGCATCGTGTATGTATAGCCAACGCTATATATAACGATAATCAACCTGCGAGGCGACCCACAGGGGATGCGACCCCTCTTCGGATCACCATAGAAACCAAGAGATGGGACGAGAGGGTGTGCGCAAAAG